GGGGAGAAATAAAGTTTATTTATGTCATAAAAATAATTCTGACTTTTTTCTCTTATGCTAGTCTTAAAGTTGTATCACAAGACTATAGGACTATTTTTCATTTAACAGATTTTTTTTTTCCCAATTTTTCCTATGTATGTAGCAACGTTCTAGGAATTCTGAGTTGCATTAGACAAGAGGTGGAAATACATCTTGGGTACAATTAATGTGTTCTATTTCAGAAAACATTTCACATTAGACTAAAATAGTGTCATTTCTATACGAAATGTAAACTAAAACACTCTTTGGGCCTCGGGAGTGACTCTACTTTCAAAAAGATAAGCAAAGGAATACTCTAGAAAGTGACATAAAGGGTTTGGTATATTAGTTAAAACACACTATAGCATGGTAGCACTCACAAGGAAAGTCTCCACTGAATTGTTTTAAAAATAAAGGACTGTTCCCACGTTCTTAAAATCTGATTTTAAGTTTGTTTATCTTTATCTAACGTAAATTCATTTTGTCAGTAAGACATTCTGGCATTTAAGAAGTAACATAGAATCACATATAAGTACAGATTAATGAAAAACATCAACAACAAAAGACACACTAGAGCCACGCTGCAGGCGCACTGAGGCTGAGGGAACAAGTGTGATACTTCCATCATGCTCAGATAGGATTTCTAGGCAAGTCATAACTTTTCTGAGTTGGAATTTTAACTAATGGAGACTCAAGAACAAATCACGAAATGGTTGATGCTAAACCTAAAAGGCAAAAAAGTCATGGGTATTTACCAGAAATTTCTTTTCAAACAGAATACCCCATAAAATTCCAATCAAGAAATTCAACCAACTTGTTTCAACCTCAATTTGCTCTTAACTTTACTTAAGCTGTTCTACTTACTCAAGTATTTATAAATACCAAAGTTGTATTACATATCATACGGCAGCTCCCTCTCAGTAATAACTATGATTCTAGCTAATGTGCATGGGCAAGCAGGCCGTGGGAGCAAGGGCTTAACATTTTCTCAACTGGTAACTTATCTTTCATAATTCTATTTTTCCTTGTGACACACGTAGAAACCTTTATTACATATGCACCAGGCACAACCCAGGACACATTCATGAGCAATTCCCTTCTCTCAAGTGGGAAGACAAAGATTTCTGGTACCAGATAAAGCAAAACATCAAACCTTATTCTTCCCCACTCTTTGAAGGGAACCAACAAAACAATCCTAAATTATTCATCATTATTACTTCCACCTGTGACCACTTATTAGTAAATTAATATTGGTGGAATGTAAGGAAACAACATATAAGGTCACTTAGTCTAACAGGGGCTGGCCAAACTTTTTCTGCAAAGGGCCAGATACCAAATACTTTAGGCTTTGTGGACAAAAAGGTAAAATTGAGAATACTATACAGGTATTTATATAAAAAGAGGAAAAAATTGTTACTGATGAAATTCAAACTATAATAATGAATACAGGGTTTTTTTTTTTTTTTGTAACATAGGTCTAGTAATGAGAGGAACAGAATTCTTTTTTATTCAGGATAATATTTGGCTTAAGTGTGATTCAAAGCTAGTGTTCCCTATCATCAAACTGATTGCAAATATTCTCAGGATGCCCAAGGGCCACAATTGCCAACCCCTGCTCTAGAACATGGAGGCAAAAAGAATATTTTACGATCTGTCATTGAACAAATATTTCTCCTTTATTCATAAAACTGTAAATCTACAAAGATATGTACTATAAATCAGCAGGATAGGGTAGTGGGAAGAACACCAGACTCTGAATCAAAATAACTTAAATATCTACTATCATGCATTGTGTGACCTCAGACAAATCACTTAACCTCACCCTTTTCCTATCCCTTGGTGCTTTCAGAATAATGCAAATACTATCGTGTGTATTTTGAAAATAATTTGTTTCTTTTGCAGACTAGACTGTTGGGAGCTCCTCGGGGTAGGGACTGTCTCCTAATCTTGCATCATCAGCTAATGTAATGGTCCTTGGCACAGAAAATGAATAATGCTAAGTTCATTAATCTGTTAATACACTGCCTAGAAAATTTCACTTCAATATCCAATAACTAACTCATTTAAAAACTGCTTAATTTTTCTTTCTCTACACTAAATCATTAATTCCTAACTTGGTTATAGCTGCAAAGACTGTCTGAAACCTATGCAAATTCAGCTATAATACAATTAAGCAAATTAGGGATCATTCTTTAATTCTAAATTGATACTTTTAAATGTCTTCAATATCACCTAATAAAGTTTAGTTATTAAATTAGAAAAATATGTTACAGACAACGGACTTAAGTGTTAGATCGACATTTATTGAAGTGGAAGCCAAACATTCTTCTTGCTACAGGCTCTGTGGATAAAGAGTTCCCTGGTCAAATAAATGTGGGCAATGCTGCATACTGCACCTCTTTGGAGCTTCAGCGTGTACA